CTAAGAGTTGATTAAACCTCTACATCCCGACGTGGTATATAGAAGGGCAAATAGATCTGATGGATGCATACTACGATCTTGATTTTATGTTTCAGATAAAACCTAATTGGTTTTCAACATAAAATTCTCGGTTACCCCATGATGCTAAGACTGCAAAAACGTAAAATAGAATAAAGTTGACTCAAGTGACTTCTGCATTATTTAGACCAATGGTTTGCTTCAAAGCATACAAGCGAGCAATAGAACTTGAGCCGTATTATCCAAAATAACATTCCACTTGCCCCACGAGGTGATAAGGGTAAGAGTCAACTACAAACTGCATTTGGCGAGCAAAAATAGCTGGCCTTTGAGCCAATCAGTAACATGCAATACATTACTGGGAAATTAGTACATTTCATCCTGGGAAATGAAGGATGCTATTCGACTTTGCAAATTGCAGAATGCCCAAAGTGCGCGACAGTCCACAGTGAACTGCAAAAATCGTAGAGGCCCTGCAACATGTGTAGTACAGTAAGGTAAGAAAGTTACAATTCGAGTCGATAACATAGACGATCAGGTTTTGTGCTTAAAAACCAATAAAAGTGAAACGGAACGAAAGCCAGTAGAGACATCCGATACAAATAAAATTTGAATTTAGGCTCATTCAGGTATGGGGTAGGAAAATGCAGCAGAAATGCAGTAGTGATGTGCACCGCTAATGCCTACGATGTTTCCACTGAATACTTATGTGGAGGAAATTAGTATAAAATCAATACTAGCAAGTCAATTGTTGAAGCATTCGTAGAATGCAGAAAAGGACGTTGGTACACTTCGAACTGCAAGCGCATCAAAAAGATCAGATGCACGAAGAGACTAAACATCAGTAGCAAAGACGACAACAACAGCAACAACTGAACCATTGTTGAAAACAACTAAAGCTAGCAGCATCTCGAAAGAGCTGACCTCAACGATGCCAAGCACTCTTTCAAAATCAACAGTTCCAAACTCAACGGCAATCACCACTCCGACAGAGACATCAACACTCCCAACGACCACTTCAAGCAACAACTACTCCAACTTCCACAAGGCCTACTTCAAC